AGGCGTATATATACGCCCGCGGCAGTTAAGGGGTTAAAGTAACTGATGTGATAAAGATATGTTATTCATCAACCATCAATTCCCTTTAACTTTCAAAGTTTTTCAAAATATTAGAATTTTATTTAATGCCCTCTTGCATAAGACCTGTTAAACTTCAAGGCAGTTAAGTGAATAAAATAACTTTAGGCATAAAGAACTTGATTATAACTTCGAATGACAGACTTCAGTGTTTTGCAGATGAAACTGAGAGAGTATTTTCTTGATCTAAGACTACTGAAGCAAAAAATTCTTTAGTGCATCAAATCATAAGTGAAAATTTGCTTTTAGTGATGAAAATCTTTCTTTTCTATTTCACCTATAGGAATTTAGCAGTTAATTTTAGTGCATATAGTACTTCTATTAGATCAGTTTAAGTATAAATTGCAGGTTTGTTTTAAAAAAGTTTGATTAAATGCTGAAATTATTGGAAATAGAACAAAATAAAAAAACTTACAAATGTTCCTGGCTATTTGGAAGTATATAATGGTAAAAAAGGTTAATTCTTAAACCTAAATAGAAAATGTACAAATCTAACTACACTAGGCAATGCTATTATAGTTCTTTGAATTCTGCCAAATTTCAGCACTGGCTATCAAAAGCTATAATAATTTCTAGAAGAGAATTACATATAGAATATTAGCAGCTAGTTGTTTTAAGTATTTCTAGGTGAATAGATTCATATACAATTCTTTTAAGAAAATTGAAAGTAAAATCAAAGTCCTTATGTGAAAGAAGATACATTAGTCAAACTGGTAACTGTCTTTTCATTTAAAATTACAGGTAATGTTCACATTACTTCTGTACAATATAGATTTTGCTCAAGAACCTGATATTACATATTTACAGGGAACAATCAGAAATGCACTGACATTCAAAAACCAACAGACAAAGGATTTTTTCCCTCATACATATTTTTTTAGCTGTATTTGATTTAAACTTATTTCCTTGAATTATTCCAACTTAAATAAAAGATCCCTCAAGAAAAGCTGAAAATGACATCAAAAACTGCAAGTTCTGAAACTAAATATCCCATTTTCTCGTATAGGAATCAAACTTCTTGTATTTTTTTTTATGATGAGTATAAATCTTTCCCAAATATATGTATAGGAACCAGGAGACCACATTAGATTTCATTACTTGTCCTAAATTTCTTTTGTTTTAAATTTGATATTGGTAAAACATGAATAGTCATTTAAAACAATTCTACAATCAAAAGTACATGACAATGAACAAAGAAGAGCAGGGAAGTGGGTGGAGATCAAAACATTATGACCAGTACTTACAAACAAACTGCATACCTGCAACTGGCCTAACCATGCATGCCACAAGTTCTTGGTAGATGATTCGATGCATGTAGTACCGAATGTCTAAGCAGTGTCACATAGAGTCGATATCCAACATGATGGCATTTGAGCTCTGAGCTTCCGCTCCATGACATCCCAAATGTGCTCTATTGGATTTAAATCTGGCAAGTTAGGTTGACAGGATATTAACTGTAATTCATTCTTATGCTTCTCGAACCATTCTAACAAAATTCGAGCCTTGTGACATGGCGTATTGTCCTGGTGGAAGATTCCATTTCCAGTTGGGAAGACAGACACCCTGTAAGGATTCAACTGATCCGCAATTATATTCAGACAGTCCGCAGCTTTCATGGTTTGTTCTACCACAACTAAGGGTCCCAGAGCTGCCCATTAGAATGTACCTCAAAGCATATCATCACCATTGAGCTGTGTATGACCTGCTGTACAGGGGGGAGGGGGAGCAACTGTCCGTATATATGATTTTTCATGCATCATGCCATCTTCCAAATGACATATGACCATCAGAGTGTTGAATGAAAAATTGGAATTAATCAGACCAGGCAACTGTCTTCCACTTATCCATGGTCTAATCTTGATATTTCTGAATTCACTGTAGGCTTAGTTGACAATGACACTTTATTAACAGAGGCATGCAAGTTTATCGTCTGCTTAACAGTCCCATATCCAAAAGTGTGCGCTGAACTGTGGGTTGCAAAACACTCGGACCTGCACTGTACTGGGCTTTCAGCTGAGCCACTGTCAGGCGCCAATTTTGCTGAATCGAACGGAACACTTTACATCCTTTTTCTTTGATGATGCAGGGGCGTTTGCTGCTGGTTTCACTGTCATTTATCCACTTTGCTTAAACACTAACAAGAGCATATCGTGAACAACCCATCAGTCGCTCAATTTCACAAATAATCGTTCCGAGTCTTCGAGCCATTACAATCTACCCTCTTATCAAATTCATTTAAATCAGCAGCCTTTCCCATTACTCATAAAAACGATTCCTTACCTTCTCCAACAGCAGTTACATATCATTCTGATTTAATCATGTGTCCTCTACATCACATAGACAAGTTCACTGAAAAATGTGCAGACAGTCATAAAGTTTTGGCTCATCAGTGTATACAATATTCATCCAAATTACAAGATAATGACAGAAATCAAATGTAATTTATACTTAATGAAAAATTAACAGAAATTTGTACAAAAGCATTAGTTCATATAAATTACAATGTCTGGCAATTGAATATTCTCAAATGTTCTCGTTATTTTCTAAAATTTGCACAATAATTAGTGCGCGGAGTCAGCCAACTTACAAAATTCAGTAGTTTCTAAGATCTTAAAAAATTAATCAGTTCACAACTATGTGACTACACTGGGGTTCTATTCAGTGATTGTTGCTTTAGAGTTTGCTGTTAATGATGTTCTGATATTTTTGGTTCCCAAATGCTGTGATTTTATTTCAATAAGGTGTCGATGTCTTCTTATTAATTTGGCATAGTTATTAATCCTTTCCAGTGTTTTTTGACTGATGATGAAAATTTTGTCTCAAACATAAAACCTTTAATTGTCAAATTAATTTTAAAAACAGTAAAAATGAAATTATACAATAAAATTAATAATTAATGCACATACTATTGCTGCAAAAACTTAGTAGTGTACCATACACTTTCTACCTCTTTACCACATGCTTTCATGGTTAAATTGGAAGCACTAGCAATGAAAAGTCTGGCTCAGAGACCCAGAAAAGGAACAGTACATTTTTCACATCTCCTGCCTCAAAACAAGTCAAACAAATCACTATAATGGTGCTAACTAAAATGTGGTGGAACATAATTTTCCCTGCCAGGATTTGGCGGCTAGGTTCAAAGCCCTCTGTACCTTTGTGGTGTGACTGGATGTATATCTAGCTAGCAATAAGGAGGTCCAGATTTCGAATCCCAGCGAAGGCACTGTATATTTTTAATGTTTCTTGTTCCGAAAAGGATCTAATGATTCTACATACTGATGTAAAACAAAATTGAATACAAATATTCACGGACTAAAAAATTGAATCCTTATGTAAATTCTATAAATAGCTATATAAAATTACAAAAATTTACATGAAATAAAACTTGATTTAAAAAATTACGCTGACGATCACTAAGGGTTGGGGTGGGAATGAAACTTTGCCAACTTAAGCTTCATTAATTCAACTGAAAAACACTGTCATTAGTAAAGGATAAAAATTAAAAACCAGAAGATGTACTGAAAAACTGGAAGATTCAGTAACTACGGTCTAGAAAAAACATCCCCTTGTTTTGAGATGTCTGGTGCGTACGTGGAGAATACTATAATACAATTACCTAGATTTCAGTTCAATACCTGAATATTTCAACTAAACACATTGTAGCTTAGAATGTGTAAGTTCATCAAAAGATCTCAACTCGTGTTTTATGATATAAAATCCTTACTCACACATATAAATATATGTAAAACTTCATTCATAAAACATACTAAAAATTAGCACCCCAGACTAAACTACCTCCATTTTAAAACTACAGCCAAAAGTCGTTAATCCGGACTCGTAGGGACTTCGGCGATTCCGGCTTATCGATTTTTCCGGATTATAGATCATCAGTTTAAATCTCGTAAGATGGCATGCAGAAATTCTAAAATTAAAAATATGAAACCGTAATTTATGAAATAAGGAACAATTATGATCTAAAGGGTATCAAAATTTGCAAAAAGAAAAAGCTTAATATTTATTTGTTTACTTTATTAAACATTTCTTTCAATGTAAGTTTTGTTTAAGTTTTGCTTCGTTTCATGTGGTAATACTTTCTCTTTAATTCTATTAAACAGACATAATTTCTTGTTCAGTTACAAAGTTCCACTGTTCACGTCCTATAATTGCTGTGTCAAGAACACCGACTAATTTGTCCACTAATTTGTCAATCGAAATTTTTTCGTTTTCAATAACCTCTGTTACTTTTCTTTGCTATCGGAAGCGAATTATAATGACGAGAAACTTGTTTAAATCATATCAAAAACGGAGCATATCGAGATGAAATACTACATTTGGTAAGGAATTATAAGCCAAATAAAATAAAAACATCTGCGCTGAAATAAGGATAGTGCTGACAGATCAAATTCCAATTCATTATGCGCCCGCCGCAGCGGAACGCCGAGCAGCGTTAAATTGATAAACAGATTTCGGATTTCAAAACATACTTTCGCTTTAGATCCTTTACATGTTAACAAATATATATCGAAAATTCTATTTGATATAATCGAAAGTTTAAGCTTACTTTTATAAAATTGCTCTTACAGTCTGCAAAAAATAATAAGCCGTAACCAATTCGAAAATTAAGGAACAACGCAATCATCAACATTAACTGAAATAGATAATTAGATAATTTTAGCTTATATGTCCATTATACATAAAATGCGCATGCGAAAACGTATTCTGCACTTGCGCAGTCGTAAAAGGTCTTACGCGCACGCGTAAACGCCTATGCGCATGTGTCAACGCGGCGCATGCGCAGAACGTTTTTAGTTTTGAGGTCCGGATTATATAGATCATTCCGAATTATGGGTGTCCGAATTAACGACTTTTGACTGTATAAAAACACGCAATTATAGTTAAAAGCAATACTCAAAAACAGCATCTAAGGTTGAAAATTTTCTTAAATTTTTTTATTAACAGTTTTGGTAATTAACAGTTAGTCTTCTTTGCCAGTGACAGATGTCTTTCCACCACGGATACGACCAGTACGACGGGCAGCAATGAGACCAACCTATTGAAAAGTAAGAATTAGTAACAGAAATAGACATTTTTCTTATTTCATTGACTTACAGTGATTGAATTTTAATGGTTAGTCTTTTCCCACAATAATTTATGTTCAATTATTATATAATTTATAAATGTGTATAATTATCATTTTACACAATAACACATTTAAAAGATTTTTATAGGAAAACTATAACATACATGTATTCCCTAAAGTTAATATCCCCCCCTTTTAAATGGCAGATAGACTTGTTCAAATTAACTGATGCAAAAACATTCTGGTACTAACCAATTCATCATTGTTGAGTATAATGTGGTAATTAAGACATTTAAAAATATATGTAGAAAACATTTAAAAAGTCATATATTGGCAGAAAATGTTAATTAAAACTGAAAATGAAGCATATTTTGTAGGCTTATTAAAACAGGTTAGAAATGCCATATTTTTATACATGTAAGAAAAAATTGTAAAGCAAAATTCTAATTTTGCAATAGTTCCTTAATTCTATTTTAATTCAGATATTTTCCTTTCTATCCTAAAAACAGTACTCACTTATGTCTTTCTAAACTGTATCACTTCAAACTTAATACCCATCAAATTATTCTTATGTAAAACTCATGATGCAAGTACCTTAATAAGGCTTCAGCCAATAATAATTTTAGAAGCTTAAATATTAACTAATTAGGATAAAACAAATAAAGATGATTAATTTTACTCTAGAACAGCCATGCCTAACCTTTTAACTTCTTGTAGACATGCTTAATGAAGATATATTTGGCCCACAGAAATTTTGTCTGCCATCAGCAGTGCCAGCTCGTAACTTCCAAAACAAGTAAATAACACAACTGTGTAGGTTTCAAATTTGCTCAATGTGTACTTGAAGTAAATGAGTGATTCACTTGATTCATATGATGAGCTGTCATTGCCTAACATTAATGTTGGCTGGCAAGCCATAAAAACATAGTGTCAAATAACCCAAACATCCATTTTGAAAGGCAGCACTGAACTCCGATCGGAACAGTAAAATCAGCAGAGTGGGGTCTTGATATTTCTCATGTGCTTCATGAGCTACATTAATATTTTGCTTTGGGCTGCATACTGCCCACGGGTTGGACAACCCTGTTCTAGATCAAGAAATATATTGCCTTAGGAAATGCCACTTCCTACATTTTTTTAAATAAAGAGTAGTGCCTAAATCCTTTGGCAGTCATGCAAATTTTAAGTGTATCACATGATTTTCTCAAACTTAAACATGCATAAAATAAAACAAGCACAAACAAATTATACATACCTTGCGACCAGCAGAGGCATCTCTCCTTACAGTTGAAGCTTTACCAATATGTTGATGGTTACCACCACCGTGAGGATGCTCAACAGGCTAAAAGATATAAATTTAAGCTTAAAATAGTGATAACTACAAATTAAATAAAAATATAAAAGCAGCATTTACATATTAATACACTTCAAATCAAATTTTCCACCAGCTTATGCAGTGAAAAGGTTCTGAAAATAAATTAAATTTCACTCTTATTACTCCAATCAGTTTAAGCATGATAAAGAAGGAGTTTAAAATGTTAGATTAGTCAACCACAAAGAAAAGTTATCAGCAAAAATTTAAATATTAGGATTTTTTTGGGGGGGGGGTAGAAACGGCAGTTCAATTTTTGTATTCAAATCTCAGTTTATTATATAATACAGTTTTGCACTTAATTGTTCTGATAGAACTGTCTAAATGAATCATGAAAAGTTTAAGATGCAGAACATAAAATCATGTACTCAAAATAGCAATGCCAGATATTTGCTATGGTATTTATCTTATAAATTAAACCAGTGTGGAGACTTCTGAAATTATTTAATTAACCCCTACCTTCTCGATCCTGTCAAAATGACGGGGTGAGGTTTCGCCCTCTATTTTTCCGGGCCGGAGAGTTCGAAAGCAACGTGCTAAAAAGATTAAAACCTATTCATTTCTTTTGCCTGGAAAAAGTTTCTCATTTTACACACCAGATGGCAGTACCAGGATAATATTTGTTACAATTAGAGATAGTTTATTTTAAACTAGATGTCAGCACTAATTAAACGTATATTTATGCTATGTGTTTTGTAATTATGTTAGCTCAGTCACTCAGTCATTGTGAATGCATGTGGTTTCTGTTCTGTGATAAAATATACTTATATTTTTATTCTGTAAATTATGAAGTCAGAGTCAGATAGTGAATTGGATTCTGATTTTAGTATAATGGATCTGAAAGTGATTCTGAAGTAACTGATTTTTTTGAAAGTTCGGTTAGTGAATCTGAGAGCAGTGATGATGGATCTGTTTCTGTTGCCTGGACGAGCATGGACTAAAATTGTGTCTACTTCAGCAGATCACACACCCCCATATTTTAAATTTTGGGGAGCACCAAAGGTAAATATAAATTTTGATCCAAGTTCTGGTGTCTTACAATATTTTTATTTTGTGAATGACAATTTAGGGAATCTCATCATTTCGGAAACATATGCCGAACAATGCCAAAATTCTCCAGGATTCCGCTTATCCAAAAATAGAGAACCTTAGATAACTGCCACAAAGGATGAAATTCTTAAATTTCTCAGTATTGTTATTTTACAAGGTATTGTAAAAAAAAACAGATACGAAAATGTCTTGGAGCAAAAAACATTCAATTTCAACACCTTTTTTTCAGACGCATAATGCCTCGTAGTAGATTTTACGAAATACACAAGTTTCTGCATTTTGTAGATAATGAAGCTTTTGATTATAACATACATCCAAATCCCAAGCTGCATAAAATCTGGTTAATGTTTACACAGCACCTGAATTAATTGTTTCAAAGAGCTGTAACTACTGGACGTGATACTGTAATTGATGAAACCCTCATGCTTTTCAAAGGTCGTTTAGGATGGCGACAATATATATGACGAAAAAAATATCCCGTTTTGGAGTAAAATCGTATTTGTTATGTGAATCAAGTTCAGGTTATACATGGTCACAAATTTTATATACTGGAAAAGGTACAGTTTTTGACGCAAAATATAAAGTTCTGCCCCAATCAATTCAAGTTGTGATGTCACTTATCAAGCCTCTGCTAAAACAAGGATATTGTCTGATAACAATTTTTATACCTCACCAGAATTGGCAGACATCCTTTTAAAATTTCAAACAGACACTTATAGAACTGTGAAACTAAACTTAAAGAAAAAAAAAAAAAAAAAAAAGCCTCAAGAATTAATAAAAAAGAGAATCACAAAAGGTGAAAATGTTGTTTTTCGTCGAAGTAAAGTTCTTGCTATGAAGTGGAAAGGTAAAGATGTTACAATGCTATCTACAGTTCACACAAATGACATGGTAGATGTGCAGTGTCATAACAAAGTTGTCAAAAAACCTACAATTGTCACAGATTACAATAAAAATATGGGAACGGTAGATAATGTAGACCAATATCTTGGAGATTACTCTATTGTTCGAAAAAGAGGAAAGAAATATTATAAGAAAATATTTTTTCATTTGTTAGACCAAACTATTTTGAACTCGTATTTTATTTACAAAAAACAGGGCAGAAAAAAAAATCCCATTTGATGCTTCGTTTATCTTTAGTAGATGAACTTTTTGAAATGTATCAGTCATCAGACATCATTTCAAAAAGAGGCCGGCAAGCTTGGAGGATAATCCAAATCGTTTGATTGAAGACATTTTATTAGACAGATACCCCCAACTAATAAGAAATGGCAACCACCAAGAGAATGTAAAGTTTGTTGTTCCAAACGAGATGAAAACAATAAGAGTTGTAGGAAGGAAACTCGGTACTACTGTCCAGATTGTGACGTTGGCCTTTGCATCTCATGCTTTGAAATTTATCACAAGAAAAAATTACTAAGCTTTGTTTATATTATGCATAAGTTTATTAAAATTTTCTTTTAACGTTTAAAACACATATTTCTGAAATTTTCCTGGTTTACTGGAAAACCAACATTCAGTCAAAATAAACCTGAATGTTGGCTTAAATTTTCAAGCTAAAAAAAATCCAGAAATTGAAAATGAATACATATATATTGTACATACATTTATTTCTATACAATTTTCTTCAATTAAAAATATTGGTAACCGTTTTCTTGAAAATTATTCGATCGTTAAGGGGTTAAAAAAGAATTATTCAAACATAGCCCGACATTGGATTTTATTGGATCATCATATGCAAGTTTTGTGGGGGGGGGATTTAGTTTGATAGGACATGAAATCTGCATATTGAATATAACAGCAGGTTCCTTACTCAAAAACTCAGGAAATTTTTTCAGCAAAAAAATTTACTTTGAATGATAAAAACTCAACCAATTTTTTAAAAGAAATTGTCAAAATAATTAGATTTTGTACGGCTGATAACAACTGAGACAGATTTTACATTTTACTTTAAGAAACAAGAACGGTAATTTTATTCACAGCAATTGCCATATAAGCCTATTTCGAGTACAAAAATTTTTCATGCAATGTGTGCTTAAGAACATTCACCTTTCCATCAAAGTAAAAAAATCTGATGTTTGCACCACATGACTTCCTTATACGAACTATTAAATTATACGCATTGTTTTCTGCATTTCATTTAAACTTATTTCCTCAAATTTATATATTATTAATAATATATAAATTTGAGGAAAAGAATATTTTTCATTCAATTAATTCAGTTCTTACTTTGCAACAAGGCAAAAATACATAAAACGTCAAAATACTTTTATTTAAATTGAAAAATATAAAACAAATACATTTAAAACAATTTAAAGATTAACTTTTGCAATTAAAATTACAGTTTCTTTGCAAAAACAAGCAATTCAGTCAGCAGGTAAGAAGGCAGATTTATTGCCACACAAAACTTAAACTTTACTTTTGTTCTCATTAGACACTCAAGACTAGAAACACTAGAAACTGACTTATTTCAATTGATGAATTGCTTTCAGATAGTGAATACAATACGGATCCCAGTACATGTGCAAAACATGCAATATTGGGTTGTGCTTTTTTAAAGGTGGTGTCCCTTTCTCCGAAAAGTACCACAACAGAAAAATAGACAGAAGTGTAAACATGAAATGTAAATACATATACCCAAGTTACTTTTTCCTATTCTTACACATGTAATCATCATATAACCAAGAAGAGCATCAGTATCAGGAACAGAAGTGTATAAGTTCTACAATAGGTTTAAATAAGGGTGCCAAAGCACTGAAGATAAACCAAAGATCAGGTGCCCTTTAAAGAATGAAAAATATGAAAAAAATTCATTCGTTGGTAAAAGCTGATAAATGTGTAACAACTCGGCAACTTTGAGACATGCTCAGGATAAGAAAAATAAGCTGTAGGTTAATTTTAATTGAAAATGAGAAAGTCTGTGCTCGATTTGTGCACTGGATTTTGACAGAACAGAGGAAAAAAGCCAGATGCTGTAAAGATTTGCTGACTTGTTAGACAGGGCAACAATTTCTTAAAGGGTATCACAGTGGGAGATGAGACCTGGTATCTATAATACAAGCCAGAAGTGAAAAGACAAATTGCATATTGAAAAGGACCATCTCCTCCCATGCAATTAAAAGGGGGGGAAGTATAAATGTCAAAATCAAAGATTAATGATTAAATTTTTTGATTACAAAACTTATTCATCATGAATTTGTCCCTGAAAATCAATCGATCAGTATTTTTACAAGGAGGTGGTTCCCACCCCCTTACTATTTATTATTAAGAAACAGGAAAAAATGAGTTAAGATGGAACTTTTGATTCTGGGCAATGGTTTCTTTTATAGTTATTATATTAGGCTTCATACAGCATTGTCTGTACAACAGTATCTTGACAAGCATTTAACTGCAGTGATAAATCATCCACAATATTTTTTCAACTTATCGGCAGCTGATTTTTCCTTTTTCTGAAACTGAACATAAATGGACAGATATGAAAATGTCTCGGTTATTGAATCAAATGTTATGCAAGTTTTACTAATGAACACCTATCAACAGTTCCCCCCCCCCGATGGCCTGAAAAAACATCATTAAAATTACATGAAATTAACTCCTCTGATGATTATTTTGAAGGAGATAAAATTATTTTAAGACTAGTAATCATTTTCCTTACTTGTAAAAAATTGTTCGGTTACTTTATGGGCACACCCTGTATAAACACACAGGTAAAGTTACGCAAAGATGCTGGTTAAAAATATTGCACAATAAGCTTTCACTGTTTTACGTGCCTCAAAGAACTACACAAAAACATAATGGCACAGCATAAATTCAGCACATACACATTATAATTAAATTATTTAATCTGCATATCCTTCCTTTAAACTGTTAATTTACTGCTGAAAATAAACCACCTTAATGTTTTTTCAGCATTACAAACCTTGTGCTATACACAATTAAAATTTTGATTCCTTTTTTGTCAACAGAGTGCCAGTTGTAATTGTGCATTACATTTGGAAGCATGTTCATATTGTTGTCATGAGTAGCTATGCATTGACAACACTGTGAATAAGCAAGAAGAATGAACATCAATCTATAGATTAGGCCAAAAGTCACTTTACCATTTAAAAATGAAATTAATTTTTTTTTTTTTCTTTTAACATTATAAAGTCCCCATCTTGGAGATGTTGACCCTATATCATTAAAAAATATATATAAAATATGTAAAAAAGAAGTCATTTTTTAATGGTAGTGATTTTCAGCCCCATCCTGTAATAATTTTTTCCAAGCTTTTCAGTTGCTTTTTTTATTCTAATGCAGATCTTTTTTGCAGAAAGAATCAACACGGATTAAATGATTTTCCAATTGCCACATAATGAACAGCATTAAGCAGTTAAATGTTCTTAATCTGGATTTAATGAAACAGTCAATCTTTACATGAAGCTGTATGTGTGATCACGGTAGCAATCTTGCAAGATTTTGTGCAAACGTTTTTGCCTGGCACCTCATTAATAGAAAAGAATGGAAGTTTTAACCACAATTTTGCAAACTGTTTTCATTAAATGATATATATATGATGTCATAATTTTGGGAACATAGATCATAATTAAATAATCCAATTGTAATGAAAATTCGATACATTTCTACGATTCTCATAATGAAATATGATAAAATGCTATTTACATTGATTCTTAAAATTAAGACACAGGCACTTTAGACAGGGAAGCAAAGTGAGGAAATACTAGCAAGGTAGGAGCTCGCAGAAGTGACATAATCAGCTGCCAAGGTATTTTATACCACAGTAGGTGCGATTTTAGAGATAAGCTATGATTGGTTAGTTATTAGTTTTGGTTACCCTTTTCAAGCAGTGTTACGTAACGGCGAAAAATCTCGAATTTCGGACATCACCAAATCTAGAATGTTAATTTTGAAGTCTCCAATTATTTTTCAAAGCAGCTACCATATTTTGTAATATCTTATATTACAATGGCTAAAATAATATAAATGTATCCCGGTAATACTCACGTTCATGGCAACACCTCTGACTTTAGGCCATGAATTTCTCTTAGCTTTATATTTATGATAGGCACGACCGGCTTTCAGAATAGGCTTGTCAATACGTCCACCACCAGCAACAATGCCTAAAAAATTATTTAAAGGTGTGAGGTACTGTTCCATTGTTAAATAATAATAATATAATGAATAAAAAACTTTCAGGATGAAAATTTACTTATTAAATAATGCTGTAGTGTAATACTGAAATTAATATTAAAAGCATGTTATTTCTAGAAAACTATAAAATCATTGTAAAATGAAACTCCGAGGACACTATTTCCTACACATACTTTTCTTCTAAATCTTCCTTCAAAATTTTTACAAACTTATATATCATTACATTTGAGCATTTGATATCATTACATTTGAACACATAACATGCAGATTTCTTTTTATAAATAATCATTACAATGGTGTGATAAAAAATCTCACTAATGGATCGAAAAATACATCATATTTGTAATTATGCAACTGCAAACAGTTTTAGAAAGATTAACAGACTGGAATAACGTACAGAAAATTCAAATATTTTCCATATGCATTTCTATTTAGACATCCCAAAGAGCACAAGAAGTATTTTAAAAATACAATTTATATAAATGATTACCCAAAATCTACTACAACAGTTTTAAATTAAAGTTATAAAACATCTTAGTTCTAGCATCATTTTAAAGTGTCTTGCATAAAAAAATTATCATGTGCGTTATTCAGAGAATTAATCTGAAATGGCAAATAAAAGTTTTAGACTTTTTTTTTTTTTTTTTTACCTCAGAAGGGCTATTAATTTCAAAACGGGATTTTGAGTGTCGAATCACTTTTCAAACTACTACAACCAAATATTATCGCCATTTTATATTTAAGGAAATTAAACAATGAATAATCTGCATGAATGTATGTTTCTCATACTGTGAAAAAACAGTGGTAGCTAGTCATCAAATTTTGAATAACATAGTCCTCCACTTGAACATGGATATCTGGAAGCCCAAATGTTTTGTTACCTATACCATTACCACAGATTTCAAAGACACTGAAAATTCATTATTAGAGACAAATTAAAATGTTTATGCATATGAAGTATAATTTTTTACAGCAGAACCTCAAATACTAGTGCAAATGCTGGAGGTACCTTTCAGCCTTGATACCAAAAGCCACAGTCATTTAAAAACTAAAATATTAGATCGAAATATAAAATTTTAAAATTAAACTAAGATTGGAGTTCAAGCATTAAGACAATTACTTTACTAAATGTTTACTATCTGTCTACCACAAGAACAAGATTAATTTTTTAAATGAGCATCTCTGAAAATTGTATTTTAATTTGCCATTCTGTGCACTTAATACTGAATCTAACTTTTGAATACTTTTTGATTTTTGCTTTAAAAGTAAAATACTCATTAAAACCTCATTCGCAAATAACAAACTTTTACTTGACTCTAACTAAAACTAACTAAACAAACTTGACTCTAACTTTAGTGTTTTTTGTAGTAATTGCCTTTAGTAGACAAACCGAAGAGTCATTTTTGTGGCACAGACAGATAGAACTTGGATTTCTAGATGACATATTATTGTTCTTGGATACTCAAGATTTTATATAGCTTTTATCATGTTTCACTTCTTTTTTTCCATTAAAGGTCACTCACTGCACCAAGTTAACTCTCGATCAGGAATTCTTTCAGAGCATTTCATACATACATGTATTTATAAATTTTTCTTATTCCGGCCCCAATAACAGAACAGCACCTAAATATGCTTTCAAAGTTTACATTAAGTATCTTTAAAAAAAAAATCTGAAAGGTTTCAGATTTTAAATTACATCCAAAGGGACTTTTTTAAAGTTTTGTGTGTTACCTTTATTTATTAAATATCATGTTCTTTGCACTTAAAACCATAAAATTCAGTTCAATAGCAATGTCGCAAAATAATTTTTAAATGAGCATATCTTTAGAATTTCCGATACACAGTTTCATGCACTGGAGATAAAAAGGTCCCCCCCCCTCGGTAGCGTTACCATTGCTTGCTTTTAAATCGTTGAGTTTGTTACTCAAAAATTCATTAAAGTTTAAAATATAAAATTGATAATAAAACAAATTGCAAATTTCAAATTCAGTCTTTCACATGCCCATATTCGTAGGAGGATTAAGTCATTCAAAATTCGATGGCTCTATGTACCGTTGTTTTATCACAATGCGAGAAATATACATACATTTATCCAGATTTTCCATTATTCAATTTCTTCAAACATAATGCAGGACTCTAACATTTGGTGGCTTCAGAGACAAAGCCCCTTTGGACTTAAAAAAAAAAAAAAAAAAAAATAATGAATAAAAAAAAAAAAAAGAGAGAGAGAGAGAGAGAGGAATCAAACCATCTCTTACACATACTGTTTGTCTTTAGTTTTTAAAAAACTCATTCAAAAATACTTCCTTGATTTGTGAATTAATTTTTTTAATATTTTCCCTCATAACTGATTAATAGATCAATAACTGGCCTTATTTCATTTTTCAGGTACAGACAGCATTTGAACGCTTTGTCACCTCTCCACTCTCCAACATTTCTCTATTCATTTCATTCAAGACACTACAGCCAGATTTACAGGTCCCATTTTGTTTTTTCAAAGCTATTTTTTATGAAGTTACAGCTGCAGAAAACAATACAATAAAACTGTTTTCAGTTGGATATTATTTAACAACAAGGACAATAATGGTATTTATAACTAAAAGCCAACTTTAATAACATATGGAATGGACTTTAAGTCAATTTTTTCTTAAAAACAAATTAATAAATAACCAAGCGTAGTGGCTAAGAAATAGTCTATTGATAATAAAAGTATATTTTCATGTAATGACTGAAGTAATTTAAATATGCATTTAATTTTGCAATAAGCTTAAATATTATTCAATTGCTAGTACACAAATTTAAACTTCGGCATGTGTGTGTCTGTGTAAGCTTCCTTTGCTAAACAATAATTTTGCATTACATATTAACAAGTTATATAACAAAACAGTAAGTTTTCATAGCACTATGGATTAAAAGTTGCACTTCACATGTTAGATGAAGATGACACATACTCAAAATATACTCTTCGCAAAAACGAATGGCAATACTTACCAACCATGGCTCTGTTAGATGATGGTAAAACTTTTTTTGCTCCTGATGGCAGTTTAACTCTTGTTTTCTTAGAGTCTGGATTGTGAGAAATGACAGTGGCATAATTACCAGAACCCCTGGCTAGACGACCACGGTCACCAGACTTCTCTTCCAAATTGCAGATGATTGTACCTTCTGGCATTGTACCGACTGGCAGCACATTTCCTACTTGAAGTACAGCTAAAGGCAGAATTTTTGAATAAATTATACTGATTCTATTAAATGCAGATTAATATAATTCAACATTACTTTTATACAGGTCAATTTTCTAGCAGCTAGTATTTTCAGCCTTTTTCTGTTGAGAGCAAAGTAGATGTTATCAAATATAAATGGTGAGAAAAGTTGCTCAAAATATAAATAGTAATCCTACACCAGAAGATGCGCCATTACTGCTTAAAAATATAACCATACATAAGAAGTTGAGAAAAGTATTAGAATTTTATGAATTGAATAATTAAATTCATTGCACATCTATACAATCCATCATATCAGTTTTGAATTTATAACCCACCTTTCTTTTGGCTTGTGTCCCATTTTAGTGCATTAAAACATATTTTCACATTGAAATTATATGATCAAAATGATACATTTGGAAGAATTTAAGGCAGGCACTTCATCACTTTGCAACTGCTGAACTGTAAAATCTATCTCAGTTCCTAGGTCAAAAAGTTAAGTAATGAGTAAATCTCCCATTAAATATATGCCTCAATCAAAATATCTTCTTGATGAATGGCATAATTTGCAGTGTAAGGCAGCTATTACTGGCCAGGCTTGCATACATTTTGGCTGCAGCCACTTCATCTGAAGAAAACCATTTTACCTCAAGTGAAATAAATTTAATCAATTCCAATATTATTAGCAAAGAGAAGAAAAAATGTAACAATGTACTCACATCAACAGAAAAACAAAAAACAGAAGAAATTATGTAGCAATTTCCTAACAGAAAAATCTGACGCATACACCATATAACTTCCTTGTATGGAATATAAAATTATACGCATTTTTTGCTGCATTTTATTGAAAATTATTTTCTCAAATTTCATTAAAGATATATTCTCATTCAATTAATTTAACTTTACGGCAAGGCAAAAACACGTTTTACAACTAAAATTACAGTTTCTATGCAGAAACAAGCAATAAGGCAGATTTTACGGTGCACAAAACTGAAAGTTTACTTTTGGTCCCACTCAGCAAAAAGACACTTATTAACTAGGATAAAAACTTTAACTGGAAGACAGGAACAACCTAATTCAATCACTTTTAAAGTAAAAAATGCACAATTTACCAAAATATAAGAATAAAAAAAAAGCAGCTAACAAGAGCCAAGCACAGAATGGGTATATATACACTTTCCGTACAGCCAACTGCAACAAAAAAGGGAGAGCACAATTGCATGTTATAACAGTCCTATATACAAAATTTCAACATTCTGAAGCTACTGTTTTCGAGTTATGCAACGCATGAAAAAATCCTTTTTGCAACACATTTTGGGAAAGTCCTTTATTATGTCCTTACGTACAGAAGTCACTCAAAAACATCATACATTGCATTTGACAGTGGTCAAAATAGACATTTTCGTTGAAATACGATACCCAAGAATTTTCATGATTACAACACTTCCTTTACTTTGTACAAGGAAGTAAAAATGTGACAACATACTCAAATGAGTGATATCTTTTAATAATGAGCAGTTTAATATTCAATTTTCAGCAGAAAATTGTTTAGAATATGCCAAATTACACATGAATGCTTGTTAAGTATTATACATTTCTAGTACTAATACCACCATAGAAGGATGACAAAAACATGTTTGCTCAAAGCATTTTGTTTAAAACAGTGTTTTCCATACGCCTTTATTAGGAAGTGAATTGTCTCGTATAAGCAGCAATACTTGAGAACAGGAAAATACTTTATCTTAAGTGGAATTAGCAATTAAAAATGTTACATTTATAGATTAAGAGAGAAAGAAGTACTATGAATGATTTACAACACTAATTCTAGTGAACATTTTTTACTTGGGAAAACTTTCCTAAAATTTTACTTAAGAAAATTTCCTAAACTTTAATTCCATACAGTAATTTAAGCATTAACAAAATCATGAGGATGAAAGAATTATCTCTGCTCCCTAGACTACAAGAAAGATTCAAAAATACAGCAACTCTGAATTGATACTAACTCATGAGGGCATATACAGGAACATCAGCCCACTGCCAAGGTCACCGCTAATTGCCTCTAATTCCTTTTCAGAAATCTACAAAATTGTTTGTTACTTAATCTCTTAACTATGACGGGAAATTATTAACCTTTCACTTCCTAGTACCACTGTTTTTCATACAGGTGTACATAGTTATGCGATGTATTGGGGGGGGGGAAATAAGTGCTAGTTTTACTTTCTAAAAACTGTTTATTTTCACAAAATAAAGAAAAAAACAAAAGCACAAAATTTAATGCTTAGAGTAAAAGTATAATAAATGTATTATAAAAATGATGTTTGTATAATTAAAAAGATCCCTCAAAATAGAGTTTAGATCAATTTATTTTTAGACCAGTAAAATGTTATAACAAAAGCACAATATTTAATGCTTAGAGTAAAAGTATAATAAATGTATTATAAAAATGATGTTTGTATAATTAAAAAGATTCCTCAAAATAGAGTTTAGATCAATTTATTTTTAGACCAGTAAAATGTTATATCAGGTTTCAGTGTTATACCTTGTGAAATCAGTATACCTTAAAAAAAAAAAAAAAAAAAAAAAAACATTATTTTGACTGGTTGATTGCTCCGATTTTTTTCTTGATTTTTCTTTTGAAGGATATTAGTTCATATAATGGTCTCCAAAATGGTTAGTTTCAGTAACAATATGAAGCACGAGCAGTTCATAAAAAATTAATTCAAAAAAGATAAGTTTGTTTGAAACATCCATTACATCTTTCTTTATTCCTGGCACATACTACAACAGTAAACAAAAACGGAAGACACAGAATTAAAGAAAATATGTTTTACTCAAACAAAAACCAGAGCAACTACGTCATTACTTTCGCCATTTCAGAAACATTCCCCTCTTCTCTGAAATAGTATTCTCCTTCGCATACTCTGTCAAAGTCACTCTGGTGTTGCTTTGCAAATAATTTTACTGGTAGCAGCGCAAGCAAACGAGAATATTTCGGAAGGGCATATACATATGCAAGATATAACAAAATATGATAGTTGTTTCAAAATATAATTGATGACCTTAAAATTAACATTCTAAATTTGATGATCTACCCCTAAATTCATCTCTTCTCACAGGTTCCAGAGTTTTCTATCTTACGTAACGTTTTAATGCAGATACCTCGTGTCCAATCAAATTAATTCTAAACCAAAACTCTGAACTGAAACTTTTCCACTCCCAGTCTTCTTCCTATGAAAGTACTATAACCTTTCCCCTTTTCCACGTTAGCTCTCCTGTTGGTAAGACGCATTTCATCCATGCTGCTGCCACTTACTTGCTTAAGATGACGTCGAACTTAAAAATGGGAGTTATTCTATTCAAATATTATTAAGAAATATCTTGTCTGAAAAAAAATTATTTGATACGCATTGAAAAAATAAACATTGTGATTTTTCAAGATATATTGTGCTAAATTGCGTCATCATGCTTTCCACTCTGCCACCTTCAAGCCACTACGGTCTTCTCGGTCATCTACGCAGTATCGTAAGCTGTTGAGAGTTCCACTGCTTTCATCTACGCATTTGAAATCATTACATATATACGCCCGGAGCAGTTAACGCATCAGCTGAGCAAGGCGTATATATAGCAGCAGTTAAAAGGTTAATTTAGAGGCAAAATTACTGAAGCTAAATACGCTTGAAATTACATCCCGTAAACAGGATACCTATGTGCTTTATGTCACTCTCAATCTAAAATCCAAAACATTTATCATAATTCAACAATGAAATCTTTTTGTTAAGCACACAATCTATTTTTTTTTTTTAATTACTGCCTGATTAAAGCATCCATTAAGTGCCGAAACTCGCAAACTCAATTGCCTAATACGTAACACATTAGTTGATGTATTTGAAAAGGCTTATACTAAGTAGCCTCTTTAAAAAGAAAATAAGTATAAAACTAAACACAATATATTTTAACATAACATTTAAGATAGAAGTACGCATAGCTGCCAAACTTGAAACCAGAAGTTTTCTGGAGATTTTCGCCCTGCATGGCAATACCATTTAGGGAAAAGTCCGAAGTGAGTTAAAATCACTATGTTACGGTGAAACACCGAAATCTGGAAAATGTCGACTTTCACTGGTGAATGTCAACATTCACATAGTCGCTTGGTGTATGTCCGAAACATTTTCCAAATACTCTTATTTCTGACTTACACCGGTAAATGTCGACATTCATCATGTGCTAATGGTGAATGTTGAACATACTTTCTTCTCTGTAATTCAGTCTCGAAAAAACGCACTTGAGACTTAAAATAAAAACTTAAGAACATAAGAACTTAAAACACATGGTACATTCAAAATGAGATAGGAAAATAATAGAAGTTAAAAACTTACTTAAATATAGTACGTTCTAAATGAGAAAATAAAATAACAGTAAAAAAAAAAACTTACTAAATTATGTGATTCAAATCTTATTTATTGCAACAACGTAAACTATTAGGACACTTTGAATTACACAAGAGGCCTTGCTTTTAAAACTGCATTTATTTGTGGAACACTTCCTTTTGCAATGACAGCATGTACATATACGAGGGCCATCCAGGAAGTAGATTACGTTTCCGTCTGTGTCCGCTAGGGGCGGGGCTAGCGCGGCCATCTTGGGGTCAGAGCGTTGCGCAGCTCAGTCTGCATCTAGCCGTGCTAGTGAGAGGTTCGTGCTGTGCTCCGTTCAGATACTGTGACGGTTTGAAATGTCTGCGTTAATTGAAAATCCCGCGAGCTGCGAGGTGCGCTCAGTAATAAGGTTTCTGACTGCAAAAAAACTGTAAACCGATAGAAATCTATCGGCAGCTTCGTGAAGTGTATGGGGACAACATTATCACTGAAGGTGGAGTGCGTCAGTGGGTCATAAGATTTCAAAATGGCCGAACCAATGTTTACGACGAAGATCGAAGTGGGAAGACCCAGCATAGTGACCGCCGAACTTCTCGAAAAAGTCGATGCTAAAGTCCGTGAAAATCGAAATTTCACAATAACGGAACTTTCTTTGAGTTTTCCACAAATTTCGCGAAGTTTGTTGCACGAAATCATCAGCGAAAAGCTTGGTTACCACAAGTTTTGTGCAAGATGGATTCCAAAAATCTTGACAGAGGACCACAAAAATCAGCGAATGGCTGCAGCGTTGAACTTTTTGGACGCTTACCATAAGGATGGTGACTCTTTACTCGATCGCATCGTTACTGGTGACGAAACATGGGTGAAACATGTGAACTGTGTGAAACGAAATTGCAATCAATGCAGTGGGGGCACACAAGTTCTCCCCAAAAAACCCAAGAAATGCATGCAAACAATGTCGGCAAGGAAGATGATGGCGACTGTTTTTTGGGACAGAAAAGGTGTATTTTTGGTGGACTTCCTGGAAAGAGGCACTACAATAAACTCTCAAAGGTATTGCCAAAACTCTCCAAAAACTCAGAAGAGCAATTCAAACAAGCGCAGAGGAATGTTGAGCTCTAAGATCTTGTTGATTCACGACAACGCCCGGCCCCACACGGCAAATGTCACTCGTAAAGTTCTTGAATCTTTTAAGTGGGAGTGGTTTCCTCATCCGCCGTACAGTCCCGACCTGGCACCGAGCGACTTCCACCTATTCCCAGCAATGAAGAAGTGGCTGGCTATGCAGCGTTTTGATGACGACGCACAGCTGCAAGAAGAGGTAACGAAGTGGTTGAAGGCGCAGGCGGCCGAATTTTTCGACGAAGGAATTTCCAAGCTCGTACATCGCTACGATAAATGCCTTAATTTGTATGGTGACTATGTAGAAAAGTAGTATTTGAGTGTGGCTTTCATCTGTATATAATAAAATTTGTTTCCTATACTTTGTTTATTTTTTTATTCCAAAACGTAATCTACTTTCTGGATAGCCCTCGTACTACTCTCTTTTCGACCTACACAAAAGCATATCTGTGATTGTCGACATACACCGATGAGGATCTGAATGTAATGCAATATTCGATCTTTCACCGACGTATTTGGTTAATGTTGACATTCTCCGGTGAAAGTCGACATTCTCTAATTTCGGTCTTTCAAGGTAAGAACTATATAAAACAGATTACTGAACTATTTATAATGTAATTTTGATGTATACTGTAAGTTATATCTTTCTCCCTACGTTTCTCAAGTTTTTTACTGAAAAAAATCTGAGTACGAAAGGAAAGTTCTTATTTATCAAATTACTTTTAACATGACGGAAATAAAACTAATAATGAACGTACACACTATTGTGTGAATAATTTAGCAATGTACCATTTACTGGCACAAAGTTCTACAAATGTCTACATCAGATCAAATAAAATTAATGAGAAAAATTAAGCTAAAAAATAACTAAGAGTGGGAGAAAGACACACAATGAGTTTCATAAACTGAATTTATTGCTTTGAAATATTTTCCTTAGTAAAAGCTAAAAATTAAAAACCAGGTCATTCGGTGATCTACCTGGAGAGTTAGCAGCTATGAGTATGTAATTTATTTCTTCGACCGATTCCCAGCGATTTACATTTTTAATGTTTTCATTTAAAACCAAGCTAAAAATTGAATGATTTATCATTTTTTAAATATTATTTAGGACATATAAAACAGAGAGAGACCTTTTTTCCCACAATAGATGAACTGTCCTGTGTACATTCCTTCTGCAGCAATAAAAAGTTCCTTCTTTTGCTTGTATCTGTATGGATCCCTAAAAACTACTACAGCTAGAGGTGCACCACGTCCAGGGTCATGAATGATTTCCTTCAAATATTTAAAATAATTACACACAGAAAGATATTACAAAGATTAATTTTAAAATGTCATATAAGTAATGGTAACTCTTTGTAAAATTAAAGATGGATAAATCTGAGATAAAAATATTATAAAACATAACAGCATCTATGCTGTTATAAAAAAAATTTCCTTCCACCAATACGATGGATGCTTTATACAGACTTAACTGGTTAAAGCTTCAATTGCTGATAAATCAATTTAAAAAGTGGGGTGCGACGGACACAATTTATGGTTAAAATCTGCATTTGTAACAAGAATTCAACTCTTGAGCTTTAAATCAAATGCCATAAGGTAATACATTTTAAAAAATGAATGAATTAATGAGTAGAACAAAGAAAAAAAAATTACATCTTTCATATAACATTATTATTAAGCTGGTAGAGGCCTAAAATTGACATTTTCTATTGATTTATTATAGTTCTTTATTGATGAGACTTTTCTTACTAACAACTGCAAATTGTATAAATATATTTTTACGAAATTGTATTTACATAAGTAATTTTAGAAGAATTAAAATTGTTGTATTCCACGTGCAATGCAGCGCGAGACAAATTTTAAGAGAAAGCTATAAAGGAAAAATAAGAATACAGGGGCACACACATTTAACTTTGAGTAAACAGATATTTTGATAATTTGTATTGAAACTGAATAAACGTAATTGATTACTATGTTAGTTGTAACCATAATTCCATCCTCTTATTGTTTTCCAGTAATTTTGAGAAGCAGAAAGTGCTAGAAATATCTCTAGAGTTCTAATATATTTCTTTTCATAAGAATAAATTTTATGAACCTATTATCGGACTTGGGTATTTAATCTATTACTAACTGGTATGCATGCTACAATATGTATACATTAATACAACTGCTTACATATCCATAGAAATTTATAAGATATTTTTCAATACAAATAAAAGCACTTAAATGGCAATTTCTATACATTTCACATACCACATGCAGGAGTGAGATTTTTAGTTCACCAACAGCATAAGACTGGATAAGACCAAAGGCAGAACTGTTGTTACATGAAACACGATTAGGGCCCATACAGTGAAGTGAGCCTAGCCCAAAGCAAAGAATTTAAAGCAAGAGTAGGTAAGTGCAATCATTTCATGAACAGAAATCTGGTAATACAACAGAAAACAAAAATTGTGAAGAAAATGCCACAAAATTAATACTAAGATTGCTGTTATACCAGGTGGTTTAACTTTGATGCTACAACATTTAGACGGAACAATGGAATAACTGGATGACGAGTGGTGAAAAGTCATATATGAAATATGCAGCTATGTGGGTGGCATTAGTTGATGCGCTGTGCGATTCCGTGATCAAATTAATCAAAAAGAGCCATGCAGCGAGCCTGTTTGCCTGCAATCAAACCAAGGTCTGAACTTCAAGTATTCAGCGACTTACCACTCAGCTGCTGATGAGCCAGAGATAATTTCTCCATGACATGAAAACCTGACATTGACACTATTAGTAAGTGTTGAAAATGAGTTGCGCTTTGTCTGTTTAATCCAGTCAGGCTTCTAATAAGCCACTAAAGCCTCAGAGACAATTTGTTTTGTATTACATTTTACTACCTGTAAGAAGTACCCTTTTTTTTTTGGGGGGGGGAGTATTTTGTGTCCATAGTAAGGATTAATGAAGTTCACCTTAAAATGCACAGATATAAGTGGTTCTTAACCAGGGGTATGTATTTTTGTGGGTGCAGGAGAAGCCCCGACCTAACCATAAAAATTATTAAATATCATTATTAATTTCTTATAGTAAATATAAAGATTTGAAATGTGCAGTAGTGTCCCCAATACTGAAGCTCATAAAAATTGGTAGCACTTAGCTCACTTATCGGCAAAAGACACAGAAAAAGAGCCGGTGCCGAATGGGCGTATACACTATGCAATACGAAAAGGCATGAAACGCTACAAATGAACTGCGAACAGGCAGCTAGGTGACGGCGAAAAGAAAAAAACTTTGTGGGAATACAAGCGTGACCTTTGATAAACCTCGATACAAGCGGAGAACGTTATCCCGGTTCGCGCATGCGCTGAGTTCAACATGTGCTACTCCAATGAAATCTACGGATTCCCAGATTTGTATCTGCATCTACTGCGCCTGTGTTAGGTTGAGTCAACTATTGTGTCTGCGACATGTGTATTGTGTATTCCGAGTTGTCCAGAAACCTCTTGAGACTAATACATTCTTAATTGCCCATTCAAGCCGAATAGAATTCAGTGATATTACAAACGTAAGAAACATTATATATATATTACATTATTTCTAAATAATTAAATCGATTATAGTGAACCCCACTATGTCAAAAAAACGACAAATTGGAACGATAAGTATGCCGGTTATGGATTTATCTGCACAACCGAAAAAGATGGCACGCAACGACCGCAATGCATCTTGTGTTCCAAGAATATTTTCAAACAGCAATCTCAAACCATCAAAGTTATTAGAGCATTTCAACAATCTGCATGGTGGCGAAAAAGCGCATAGCATGAACAGCTTGAAGTCAAAGAAGGCTCGGTTTGATATGGAACTATCCTAAAATTGTGCGGACCAACAATTCAAAAACCTTTATTAGAAAAGTCATATCAAGTGGCATATTTATGTGCAAAAAAAAAAAAGAAACCTCACACGATCGCTGAAGAGTTGATTAAACCTTCTTCTTTAATTATTGCTAAAACAGTTTTAGATTCGGAAGCACATAAAAAAATCCAACAGATTCCATTATCGAATGAGATTATACGATCGCGAATACAAGATCTCAGTGAAGATATTTTAATGCAAGTAATTGAAGACATAAAAATAAGTCCACTGAAAATATGCATGCAACTGGATGAGTCAACTGATGTTGATAATTGTAGCCAGCTTTTGGTATTTGTCAGGTATGTGAAGGAAAAAGAGGTGATAGAAGAATTACTATATTTTGTGAGCCACTGGAGGTGAATACGAGAGGAATTGATATTTTCAATCGCATCAAAGATTTTTTTACTAAATATCAATTACCAATGAATGTGATTGGCTCAATATGCACTGATGAAGCCCCAGCAATGTTAGGAAAAAATTCAGGATTTTGTTCACACATGAAAAGAGAATTAACGGAAGTTATAATAATGCATTGCATGTTGCATCATCATGCCTTGCATCGAAAGCATTGCCAGAAAGTTTAAAACATCTAACTACAGCAGTAAATGTAGTAAAATACATCCGAGGGCGCCAAGGGGTACCCCAAAATATATTTCTACCCAGAAAATAAATTGAAAAATTTGAATATGTTGTCAAATAAGAGTTAAGTAAAACTGCAGTATGCAAATGAGTGATACTGCAATCGGAATGCTTAATCTGCGAGAAGCATAAAATTGCATGTTTGAGAGAAAGACTGTAAATTTCGCTGCGATACTGAGAAAAGAAATTTAGGATAGACAATTTGTAACAATTACCTCCAGGGCATCATTCGCCTGAAGAATTGCAATGGAGAGTTATTCAGAGACCAGCATCAAAACAAAGTCAGATACAAGTCGCCACATGGCTAAATGAGAGTCCTGTGGTTCATAGATTTTGGAAATAATTTCTAACCAGATTCGGCATCCAAGATATTCAGACAAAGACCACCAACCACTACGGCGGGCGCTGATGACCGATATTTTTCATGTGTAGGAAGGAACAGAATAGAAAAGGTTGGTATCAACATCAACCGCGCGTAGAAGGCTGCCTGTTATGCAAAACAATCAGCCACTTGCATGCCGCTCACGTCATTTTATAGAAGGGAATGTAAACACATCCACTGGATGGCTGTTCTCTTTGTGGACAAGTTCAGATTTAACTTCTTAAGCAATAGTAGGCATTATATGGAAAGGATATGGAACCTGTTAGCATCCATCAAATAATTGTGAAAGAGATGCATACAGAGGAGGCAGTGTCTGAAGTGGATGCATCTCTTTGAGTGGTTGCACAGCCCTCAATGTCTTTCTATGTGGAACTCTGAATGCTCAGGACTTATCCTTGATGTCTATGTGCACCCTTATGCCAGAAAATTATTAAGTGATGATTTTCTGGTATAGGATAACACTAGAATCACATAGGGATGATTATTTTCAGCAGCAAATAACTCAGCACATGAGGTGATCAGCTCGATCACTGAACCTAGCATATAGCTGCTCTCAGTCCTCTTTCTTCAGACCCCTGCCACACTTGCAACAGCAATGGTTCTCACTTCCTGTAGAACTGAAAGACCATATAATTGAAAGCATCACACACTGCTTTATGTGCTGTATTGATTCTAGAGCATATCAAACTTCATACTGAAAGCAATTTTCCTATACCAAACCGATACAATTTGTTCATGTTATACATATGCTAATATCTATACTACAACTGTCTGGTAATTTCTTTTAATGTGATTTTATACCTTATTATATGTTGTATACCAGGGTTTCTTTAACTGTTGGTCGCCAAAAATTTTATCAGTTTTGATATTTCTGTAACTTATTAAAATAATTTTACAATTGCCAAATACTTTTACACATTCTATCTGAAAACAAATAAAGATAAGACAATACAAAGAAAAAACGAAAACGTTTCGACGCTTTCTTTTTATAATATAAATATTTAGGCTCTAGTGTAGAATTGGGTGCAACAAATTTGGCTGCCTGATTTTTTTAAAGTGAAAATAGCCCAATGTATAAATGGACAAAGTTAAGATGGTTTAATCCTAGAATCCGGTGCACAAGGGATTTGACTACTTTTGGCGAATTTATGATAAGCAGTAAACAGGACATATACGATGAGTAATTAGTTATGGGTCATTTTGATGTTGGTGATAATTTTCAAAATTGCACCAAGGCTACACTGTATACTAGGATCTTACCATTAAGATAGTTAACAATGACTAGTTTGTGCAATTCTCAGATTTTTTTTTTTTTTTTAAGTGAAAATAGATCGACGTGTACATACACACTGAGTTTGTCCCATTCTTCGACTTCTAATTTTGGTTTTGTGTAGCGGCTATCTTGAAACTGTGCTTCCGTGGTGCCAAAAAAAAAAAAAAAAAAAAAGAGTGTCCTACCGTAAACTTATAACACTTAACGAATTATCAGACCAAGGCCCGATTTACATGCTATTTAATTATATTACAAATAGAAAAAACATGTGCCACTATGTGTCACCTTTTTCGCTTTTAAAAAGTCATGAGATCAAGATTAAGGTCAAATGAATTTGCGATTTATAAAACATAAAATGCACAAAACAGTCACATTTTGCTTACACCTATTCAAATAAATTATATAATAGACAACCGAAACAAATGTCACTCAAATGTTAGCAGATATTAAATACTTTTTCTTCCTATAATAAATGCAATAATCTTAACGCTTTAAATCATTATTTAACCTTATGGACTTATCCAAGTAACATAGTCGTAATCTTAAACCTAAGACCCAAATGAACACATATTTTGCTAAAATTTACGCTCATGATACAAACACCATGGGTACCTAAATTACGTTAATACAACGCAACATTTAATTAATACTACTATAACAAAAATAAGAAAATATGCCGCTCGATTTTACCGAAAGCGCCATTTTTCGGATATGCAGAAAAATTTTTTTAATTATTAAAACAAAAGGATAAAAAATTTATAATTAAGCTAAAACATAATTACTTTAACAATTCCTTTAATATAGCCATGCCTTTCTGCGAAATCTACAGCACGTAATTTTGGTGCTCCTTTCCGATGTTTGGTATGACTTTTAAACACACTACCAGCACCTTTCCTCTGACTCCTAATTACACGACCCATGGCTAAAAAACATTAAATAAGTATAAGTTTCATTTCTAAATTATAGATTTGATGATTACATTATACATTTTTTATTAAATACATTACCTAATCTTCCACGTGTTTACTTCCCCAACCCTTAAAGAATGAACAACTTGAAGTCTTCTTTACTAATACGAATTCACTTCGTTTCATTTCATTATGCTTCGTTATTAATTTCACACAAATATTTTAATTATGGTAGAATAGTAAAAGCAGCATCAGTTAAAATAAATAAGAATTTGAAAATACTCATTTAAAATTATAGTTAAAATACTGACTAAAAAATTTTATGTTCTTGGTTTTAATTCAATTTCTGTTCCTCGAAGATGGTATATGAAAAGCTCTCTAATTATGAATTACTAGAATTTTGCATATTTTTTAAATACTAAACACTTGAAAATATAAGACATTACGTCACAGAGCTAAATACGTTTTTATGAGTACATTTTGAATGGAAAAATAAGGAAAATTCGGTTAACGACAAAGGAAATCCTGCTTGTTTGGATCATGGAGAGAGGAAGGAGACAAAATGCCTTTTTGAAGCATGGTTGTTAATTATTTTAGGCTTAAAGATTCATTTTCAGTGTATTTAATGAACTATATTTACTCATATAACCTTTCGCCCTTCTTCTGCTCACTATTTCAGGCCCGTTAGCAGCCGGTAATGTCAGTAATGTCGATTTATGAGTTCGATCTGGAGCTCGAATCCCGGCGAACGGGCTGGCTAACTTGGCGCTTTTGGGTTTTCTCAATATGTAACGTGTATACGAACCATTTTCCCTTAGAAGAGCCTCCACGAAGGCATCTTTCCCTTAGGAAAATAGCCCATCAATACTTTGCCATAATCAAATAAACCAAACCAAACCATCTTTTCATTATTATCACTCAAATACCGGACTTGTTAGTGGGCCTTATGATCACGAATTACTCAAATCTAATTTGCATGAAAACATACAATTTACTGATGAATTAATTCCTCATCTGATTTTGAAAATTAATAATGAATTTCACTCCAGTGTTTTTCGTAAATCCTTCGCTGTCCCCTGTCTCACTGACACATTCTCTCTGCTCATCTATGCTAAATATTATGTAATTATTAATAATACATAATATTTAGCATAGATGAGCAGAATATTTAGCATAGGTGATCTATTAATAAAATCTTCAGTCCTAATCATTTGTTTAGGCTATATAAATGTGTGCAATTCATTTATTCTCCATTCTTGTAACTTTAACAAAAATCTTAAAATCCCTTTTTTTTATTTCAACTGAACTACTCTGAAAAGTGTTGTTGATCAAGGTTATGCTGTTACCGTAAATCAACGTTATGCTGTTACCGTATCACAGCTGAGATAGATAAAAGGAATAATCTTCCGTGCAGAGAAAAACCTTACCAATACGATAAGACTAGAGAAAAAATAGACGAGAATCATGTCGAAATAATGCTTAAAAATAAATTAATAATTCCCACAAGTAATCCATAGGCTAGTCCAATAGTTCTGTGTCGGAAAAAGATTACCTTACTTACATTGTAGCATTACACTGTCGATTATAGAATGTTTAGTAGAATAATAAAATATCCTGTTGACTCCTACCTATGATTATGGAAATTATTAGCAAAACTTAATCAATAAAGTATATAACAACCCTTAATTTAACGTCTGGATATAAGGACTACATTAAATACGTATAAAGACTGACGACATGCCAAAAAACGGCATTCAAATCACATTATCGGGCTTGTATGCATTTCAAAAACTACCATTCGAAACATACGGTGCTCCTACTACGTTCCAAAGAATCATGGGCATAATATTTTAGTCCGTACTAGGTAGATAAACATTTATATATTCAGATGACATTATAATCACTTATAACAAGATGAAAAACTGACACTAAGAATCTGCATGAAATTTTTATGCTTTTAAAAGAAACGGATGATGCGAAAAAAAAAAGGGTTTAAAAGAAAAGAGTTTACGAATGCTTAAAATTGCAAATTTATTGCAATGGAATACAAAGTTAATCGAGTTTGAAGGATTGAAACTGATGAATACAAAATAACTTAATTAAAAATACTAAACACTGTCAACTATCAAATAGGCAAAGAATCTAGCGTCCTTATAGGATGCTCTTTAAGGACTTCCCAAAAATTACAGAGCATCTGTTAAAAGAGTTTCTCTAATGAAATTGTTGGAATTGATTAAGTAGAACAACATCCTAGATATCAAAGAAATGTGGCATTTGTGGCATTACACTGTCGATTATAGAATGTTTAGTAGAATAATAAAATATCCTGTTGACTCCTACCTATGATTATGGAAATTATTAGCAAAACTTAATCAATAAAGTGTATAACAACCCTTAATTTAACGTCTGGATATAAGGACTACATTAAATACGTATAAAGACTGACGACATGCCAAAAAACGGCATTCAAATCACATTATCGGGCTTGTATGCATTTCAAAAACTACCATTCGAAACATACGGTGCTCCTACTACGTTCCAAAGAATCATGGGCATAATATTTTAGTCCGTACTAGGTAGATAAACATTTATATATTAAGATGACATTATAATCACTTATAACAAGTTGAAAAACTGACACTAAGAATCTGCATGAAATTTTTATGCTTTTAAAAGAAACGGAAGATGCGAAAAAAAATGGGTTTAAAAGAAAAGAGTTTACGAATGCTTAAAATTACAAATTTATTGCAATGAAATACAAAGTTAATCGAGTTTGAAGGATTGAAACTGATGAATACAAAATAACTTAATTAAAAATACTAAACACTGTCAACTATCAAATAGGCAAAGAATCTAGCGTCCTTATAGGATGCTCTTTAAGAACTTCCCAAAAATTACAGAGCATCTGTTAAAAGAGTTTCTCTAATGAAATTGTTGGAATTGATTAACTAGGACAACATCCTAGATATCAAAGAAATGAAAACTAATTTTGCTGGTAATAGTTCATAACGTTCCAAATGGATATAATTAGTTTCATTGCGAAGATCGTAATTGAAAATTATTGCGGATTTACTATTTATAAAAATATTATTTTAAAATATAGGACTCCAGTTAAAGTGATATCCAACGATGGTCTGTAATTCTGCTTCAGATTTTGGAGGAAATGAGCGCCTGCTTTGACATAAAGCATTTTAAGATGATTCTTTAGCTACCATTGTCAAACATTACAAAGCAGATAAACAGAAAAATAGTTAAAGTTATTTGCAGTTATGTAAAAAGGTGCCATTTACGCTGATATAGCTGCGTCAATGAACTCGTAGTCTGAAGTACCCGATCGAAATATTGTCAGTTTGGGGACCAAAACAGCCAATACTTAGTAATACCTACGTAAATACGTAAATATTGTAAAGATAACTCTTGACTAATAGATTGTAGAGTTGGATGTCTGTTATAACAATACACAGAAAAGGAGGACTGCATTTGCCTCAAAAATAACATAATGTTAGTCCATTCGTTTGACTAGCATCTCCTCTCATCAGTGTGTTGTTTCAGATTTTATAAAATTTGGCAATGATTGTGGGAATAGTTACAATTAATTTGCAATATGAAGCATTATCCTGATTGTATGTACTATGATCATAATACAATGCTTTTCTTCTTTCATAATTTTTCTGAAATTACTTAAAATTGCTAATCAGCTCCTCTCTTGACGAATAGAAAACGAATAATCATTTCGTTAAGGGTAAGACTATGCAACATTATTATTATTATTATTATTATTATTATTAAGATGAAACAAAACTTTTACATTATACACTCCTTTTCCGCTTTCCTTTTTTATATTTTAAAATTTGTAAGACTTTTTTTGCCAACTTTTGGATACTAATGGACCATTTATACTTAAGGCCCAATAGGGCTTTTTACAACTCATTTTAAAAGAAGTTTCAACTCAATTTTTTCTCCAATTCGCTATCTCTCCATTGAAACCTTACTGAAATCAGATATTTTGCTTTTTGTCTTGACATTTCGTTGTCCATCTTTAAATCTTTAAATCATCTTCCAGTACACTTTATTCTGTGGCAATATATACTATCAAAAAAGATGAATACTACCTTTGATTTTTGACTACATGGTTATTCTCATGCAAATGGTACCGAAAGATTTGAAGTTGGAATTCCTATGGAACCATCTACCATTACTTACCTTTTAGCCAATTCAAAATTGCTCTCGTCAAGGCTATAAAAACTGCTTTACAAAACTTACTTGCTCTACATGACCCTCCTTCATAGATTGTGATTCTCACTTATTCTAAGACAACTATTTTGGCTACTGCAAATCAGCACAGACTTGTAACTAATCAGAAAGATGCCGAATGCTGGATTTTTTTTTTATCGTGGCCTTTCCGACTGGCACAAAGCCCACCAGCGGCTGAGCGGTAAAGACGCTGAACACTGGTAGTTCGGTCTGAGGTTCGAATCCCGCGAACGGGCTGGCTGCATGGGCGTTTTCGTGGTTTTCCCCATGTGTAATGTGTATACGAGCCAGTTTCCCTTAGAAAGTCCTCCACGAAAGGCATCCCTCCCTTTAGGCAGATAGCCCTCGTGTGTTTTGCCATAATTAAATACACCACACCACACCACCGACTGGTACAAAAGAATTGATTCTGCGGGATTCTTTCCCATTGTGGAATCCCTGTTAACGAGGCTGCAGATGCTTTTGCAAGCAGGAGCTTACACATCCGAAAATCTGTATGTAGCAGTTTCATTCAACGAATTACATTCTCCAGTGCTCATCAGAATTCTAAATATTTACTCTCTTTTAAGCAAAAAAAAAAAAAAAAAAGCGGGTATTCAACTCAAGAACCTTCTATTATATAGGGTAGCTATCAGAACAGGGTATCAACTGAAATATAAAGCTACTGCTGCTTTTCGTTTGATTGTGGACAGTACTGCCTTTTAGATTATTTCTTCCAATTTGGAACTGTATATAGCTCGTAGGGCTACTTTTGTGGGAACGCACCCATAAACGACCCCCCTCCAATCTAGCATTATTTTTTATTTACAATTTTGGGCGGTTCCGAAGCGCTTGATGAATTTTTTAATTTTATTTATATGCTCCTGTTTTTGTTATCTTGTATTTGTATTTTGCAGTGTATCTTATTGTTAATTGTATGTATGTCTTACTCCTTTTTGACCACAGGCC